ATAAGAAAGCATGCTGTCAAAGTAGAGCATAGAACAATTTATAGTCAAAATTAAGCACTTTAAAAAGCTAAATGCCAGTGACTGGTAGTAATCAGCCTACATTTATACACAGAAGCTCAGCAACAGTGATTTTATTTTTTTAGTCCCAGGAGTTTAACATTAAAAATCAAGCTACGTCTTGCTTTTTAGTTTGCACTTTAGATGGCTGTTAAAAGCACCCACTGAAAGAGGTTTGTGAAGAATCTACTGCAGAAGGCAAACACAATAAATACTAGACTTCTGATGTCATAGTTTATTTAGGACAGAACAGTTTTGATGTTTATCTTTAATTTTTTGACCTCTTCTTGTTTTGCTGACATAGATTTTGGCAAAATGTATACAAACCCTTTGAACATGTATGCTCGTAAGTAAAGGATAAGGCCTCTGCAAATGCAGTTTTCTCAATCATATCATATTCTCTTAATTTTTATTTTAGTATGTTTGCAGTACATAATGATTACATTTATCAGAGTGAACTGGTAAATAATAATAATATATCTTAATTCTTTTTATTTTCCTCATGCTACCCCTTCTACCCCAACTTTCGTCTTCAGATTACCTTTTCCTTTGTAAAAGAGCTATCTATCTCTGTTTCCTTTTATCTGTTATTTTGCTCTTTTATTTATACTTTGGGTTTCTCATGTAAGAGAAACCATGCATTAGTTAAGCTTTTAGCGCTTAAACTCTTTGTCTTGGCATAATTTCTGTGATTTCTTTTGCCATCGATTTCTACTTTCATTGCACTATGATCTGATAATATGCATGGGAAAACTTTGATAGTTTTGTGTATAGTTATGCATGGTTTATGGGTAGTCTGTGTATTCTGTTTTGTAGAAAGTTCTGTGTGATTGCTAAGAAAGTTGTTGGGTACTCTGTAGCTATCAAGTCCATTTATTTGTTGGTTTTTGTCCAGTTGGCTTGTTGGTGAGAGTAGAGTATTAAGGTATCCCATAATTGTTACGTTTATCTGATTTTTTTATGTTCATCAGTGTTTGATTTTTGAAGGTAAATGCAGAGGTATTCAATTGAATGCACTGGTGTTCTCTTCCTTTGTAATCATTCTCTTCACCTATATCTAGTTACTTTTTTTGCCTCTTCTGGTCAGTTTTGTCTTGAAGACTGTTTTGTCTAAAACTAGGATAGATAATCTTATTTGTTTTGGGGCTTTTATTGTATACAATATTGTTTCCATCCTTTGACTTTTTAGTCTATGCAGTTTTTTTTTTAATGAAATGCGTTTCTTTTATATACAGCATACTGTTGGGTTTCAATTTTTGAATCCAATCTGCCAATCTGAGTCTTGTGAGTGGGAGTTGAATTTCTTTTTTCCTCCCTCTCTCTTCCCTTCTGCTTAACTGTTCACACTACATGGTATATTCATTCCATTAGACTTTTTTTTTTTTTTTTGCATTGTTGGTTTCATTGTCTCTAGAATATCTTTTTGAGTGAGTGCTGGTTTGGTGGTCATAAATTTCCAGAGGTGCTCTTCGTCAGGGAAAGAACTTATTTCTCCATCAGTTTTGTAGATAGGTTTTTTTATGCTATCTGTGCTGTCTTGGGGTTTGTTTTTTTTTTTTCACTAATTTCAGTTAATCTTAGTCTAGCAGCTATGAATCTATTTTTCATGTTCGGTTATGTTTAAAGTATCCCTGAGTCAGTGGCCACCTGTGTCATTCCTGTCTTGTAGTTCTGGCACCATCCTCACATTGGACACTCCGGTTGATCATACTTTCAGTAGAAATTCTTAGCCCCTGGATTTCTTTGGTATCTTTTCATGGACTAATTCTTTGCTAAAGCTAGCTCTTTATTAGTGTCTTCTTTAAGCTCATTGATAGTTTTATTCATATTTTAGTTTTATTTATTTTATTTTTTTCCTCGTTGAGTTTATTGGTACATTTTAGGTATGCAGTACAGTTACATTGATTATTGGGACCTTGTACCTTTACATGACAGGTCTTGGTTCTCATTTTTTCCCCTTGTCTCTGCCCTCCCTTCACTCCCTCCACCCCTCCCCATTTACAAGCATTTTATTTCCCTTTTTTTCATAGTTTTATTAAATCCATTATCTGTTTAGTTATATCATCTTTGAGCTCACCAAGCACCTTATCAGTCTTTTTTTTTTTTTGTCTCCTTTTTATTTTTGTGTATAGTTCAGCTGTTTGACTTGATTTACTCCCTCTTGATGCCCTGTCAATCACCTTTCAGGGAGTTGGAAATCTGGGGACATATTTTGTTTCTATTGTATATATGTATGTGTGGGAGTGTGCATGTGTGCTAAGGGTTATGGACCAGTTATAGTGGAAAGACTTTGTTGCTAGTATGAACCCCTCTTTAGTGTCTACTTTCCAGTGATGCACTCTGGGCATGGCTCTGATACCAGCACTATGGGAGCCTGAAGCAGGAGGAAGAATGTAAGCAGAGCCCAGCCTGAGCAATTTAGCAATTTAGCAAGACCCTGTGTCAGGCAAAAAAGGGAGTTGGGGAAGGTTGCAATATGGCCCAGTTCCGAGGCCCTGGGTTCAATTCCAGTACTGAAGAAATGAAACAAAACACACACACACACACACACACACACACACACACACACACACTCACCCCACCCACCCACCCACCCAAACAAACAAAACTGAAACAAAACTAAAACCAAACCCTGCAGCAGCATTTCTGAGCTTCTAGTGTTTACAGATTTTGCTCCTACATTTCCAGATCATTTCCAATCTTTTAAATGGAATTTTAGATTATAAGTATACTTTACATCAATATCTATATATGAACTTTATATTAATAGAGACTATAAAAAGATGTGTAGATATTAAATGCAAATTGACCACATTAGTATAAAGTATCTTCATGGCGTATTCATCCACGAAGAAAGGATGGGTGGGTGGTAGAAAAATGTTACAATTTTTTTTTCTTAGATTAAAGAACAGTCCTTTATCAAAATGTTTTTTACATTACAAAACACTAGAAAATTAGAAGAAATGTAGACCAGTTGAAAGTAAAGATTTAAATTTTTTGTAATTCTGATACTACAAATTGTTAGTTTTCATGTTTTCTTTGTAGTTTTTGCATGAGATCATAAAAACTTACAATTGATTGTCTAGCTTTTTTCCCTTAACATAACTTGAAGTCTTTCATATCTTAATTTGTAATAGAATCTTAAGTATAAATTATCACAAATTAGAGACATACTATATGATAAAATTTTTCTGTTGAACATTTGTCATGTGTTATTTAACTGCATTCTGTCTGATCGCTAGTGCAATCCTGTCAGTTATTGTGGATGAGGAAACTGAGAGGTTAAATAACTTAACACTGTCACATAAATAATATGAAATACTTTGTTTTTTTCTTATGTTGTGACACTTCTAATTTTAAAAATTATTCTGTTGTCCCTATTTTTGCCAGTATACATAGTTTTAATGTAGTCATAAAGCAAATAATTTTACTTTGTCACAGCCTAACTTTTAAGTAACATTTACATCCTGTTCAATGTTTTAATGTAGTGAAAGCAATAGAAATTATAATGCCTATCCTCATTTCTGATTTTTTAATTCCCTGGAGCTTTGGAAACTCACCCAGTCCTCTTCTATTTTTTTTCTTCCCCTTCAAAATAGATATATCTTATCAAAATGTCATTAGAAAGACACTTGGGAAACATCTTTAATTTAGAAAGCACTTTACAGATACAATTAATTTATTTTTGTTAAATGGTAGTTTTTATTGTTTCTTTTGTATTCTATTTTGTGCCTGTTGAAATCTTAATTAGAACCTGCAAACTTCTGGGTCAGTTTGCCAACACTATTGAAAAGTTAGGTAAATGAGCCTAACACCTGTGGAATGATTCCATTTGGAAGAACTGAAATGCTTGCTAAGTTTTTCTGAACTCTAATTAGTTAGCCTTAGAGCCTAGATCCATGAGAATATTTTTTGAACCAGAAAAAAAGAAGTAGATGAATGACAACTAAATAAGGATTATGAAGCATAGCTTGTTATGCTATGGACTAATGTTTTTTTGTAAGTATTGTAGTCATATTGCATTGAGAAAGAGTTAATCATACAACAACTTTTTTGTAAAATAGAGCAAAAAAAAAAATGGACAAGTTGCTGAAAATTGAAAGATGTGAAAATATTTGTCTCCAAAAAATAACTATCAAGCAGATGAACAAAATACTTACTTTAAAAGTAAAGGTGACATTTGTCATTTTAAACTGGCCTGTCCAAGAGTGTCATGGTAGCCGTTGTAATTTGCAGTTAGAAAAGAAATTCATCAGTTATGGAAAAAGATTCATTGGACTATAAATTCTTAATACTGACACCTTTTAAATATCAAAATGAACTTATTTTCTCATGTATTATTATTTGAGAAACTAATTTTGGTTTGAATCTCTTATGATAGCAAATATTAATTATATTTGTGGAGGTAGCTTATGTATAGCTTGGCATATGTAGTCTTGATAATAAAACTCGAAATGCCTAGAAAAATAAATTGGTCTTTTAAAAAAATGTTCAGTAGTGGCTAATATGTGCTTAGATATCAGTGATGTCAATATATTTGTGTGTGATACTCAAGGTTTCTTATTTTGGAGCATTTCACATTTCATATTTTCAGATTAGAGATGTTCAGACAGTGGAACCACTTGTTATAAGTTGAATCTAAAGATTAACTTATTAATGGATGCAATATTTTCTAATAGTTCATTTTTAACATTAACTTAGAGCTATATATTTCATTATTTCTTTAATATAAGTTCTTTGGTTTTAAGAGTTTAGGATCTGGCTTCATGGAATTTTTTTGAGTGAAGAATGTTTGATCATTTTATATCTTAAAGACCTAGGTACAGAAATGGTGGAGCTAAAATAATATTTTAGAGTAATTATAAACGTCTTATAGATAGCCTGAGACAGTATGAACTTCATCAGGTTTTCTGAAAAATAAATTTCTTTTTATATATTTACAGGAAACTTGTCCAGTTTAAGTCGTCTTGGACTGAGATATAATAGACTGTCAGCAATACCCAGATCATTAGCAAAATGCAGTGCACTTGAAGAATTAAATTTAGAGAACAATAACATTTCTGCTTTACCAGAGGTAAGAAATGAATTAGAGAAAACAAGTTGATTTGAATAAGTCTGCAAGATAATACAGGGAAAATTAATCAGTTTTTACAACTGGGTAAATAATTGGTGATTGAGACTTTAAATGAGTATGTTATGGATATATAGCCACCACTAAGATAAAAATTTCAAAGAAGAAAGAATGGGTATAGGAACATTTTTTTTTTTTTTAATTATGGAGGTAGGAAAAACCAGAAAAGTTACTGTGTTATATTCCCGTATTTTTAAAATATCATTTTGGGAACCCTGACTGGATTTAAAAATTCAGCTACCCTGCCTACCTCAGTTATAAATAAGCACTGTAGAAAGATGGCACAGTATGTGGAAAGAATGATGATCTGTAATAGAGTACACTATTATTAAGATTAATACTAGCTGCACCTCTCATATGACCCAAATTATTACTCTACTGATGCAGCAATATTAAAGCCTTTTTAGCACATAGCAATCACCAAAATGTTATTTAACACATTATTTTTAACCTAGGTTATGTTGCTTCTATGAGAAGAATATTTTCAGTAACTATGCTTGGGGATTAGATTTCTTTTTGTATATGTGTCTATATATTTATATTTGTACGTGTGGAAAAAAAATATATATATTCATCCCCCCAATTTACACTTGACATGAAGAAGCATTTGGGCAGTTGAAGGTGTAGATTTATATCAGTTTATAAAATTTATTTATTGGGTTTCTTATGGAAACAAAAAAATACAAAGTTTATAGCATCTTTTAATTTAGTTCTTAGCATGGTCAGAATATAGAGATGAGTTTTTCATGATTGCAGTTTCTAGGCTGTTCATACTAAGACTATAACAGTATCTTACTTGTGGCAAAAAAAAAAAGTATTACTGTTTGTAGTAGCTTAAGTGGGGTAAGGAGTAAAATCCATAGGTATTGGATATAGCCCTGAGGCCTAGACTATCTGGATTTTTATCCTTCTGTGATGGTGGTAATTTAGAATGACCTAAATAGTTGAGACTGTGCTTGTTTAGCATCATCCCCCTTTTAAGGGCTGAGTCATAACCATAATAGAGCCAACAATGTATTAATTAGTTCTGGAGATTCTCTTTGGATATGATTTGTGAGTTTAAGGTTGACTGCTTTTACTATGTTCTTATGCCTGAATATAAAAACTAGATCCAGGGAGAGGGATTTAGCACATTGGTTCCTGTACCTGCCTTGCAAATGCAAGGTCCCAAGTTCGGTCCCTGGTACCAAAAAAAAAACTAGATCCATATCAAAATTGAACACACACACACACGTATATGTACACGTACACGAATATATAATAACTGAAATGGGTCAAACTTTTTTGTTTTGTTTTTTGAGACAGAGTCTCACTATGTAGTTCAGGCTGACTTTGAGCACATTGTTTAGCCCAGTTTGGCCTCAAACTCATAGGGGTCTTCCTGCCTCAGCCTCCTGAGTGCTGAGATTATGAGTGTATGCCAGCTTGCCCAGCAGGTCAGAATTTTTCTTAAGTTTTAGGTTCAGCAAAGTGAAGTAGATGGTGCAGACTTTCTCTACATTCCTTGTTTCCACATACACATAGCTACCCCCATCATTGATATCCTCTGCTAGGATAGTGTATTTATTAAAATAAGTGTTGATGAACTTCTGTGAACATATCACGATCACCTGAAGTACTTAGTTTAGGGTACACTCTTGGTGGTGTATAATAAGTCTCTAGATTTAGATTTGTAATGGCATATGTCCATGAGTACAATATCATACAAAGATAATTCATTACTCCAAAAGTGTTGCTTATGGTGTACCAATTACAGTGGACCCTTGACTTACGAACTTGATCAGTTTCAAGTTGGTTGTAAGTCAATACAGCTGAGATCTAGATGTTTACCTGGGAACATGCTATAGATAACAAGAGGCAGATGAATCTTCCATTAACCTAATTAATCCAAGTTTTTCATATGTCAGGCTGGTTGTAACTTGAGGGTCCACTGTAATTCCTTCCTGTTTCCAATTCCTGGCAACTATTGAACTTTGTACTTTTATTTTTTTTAAACAGGAAATAAGACCCCACAAAATTTATTACATGCCTTAGATTTAATGATTTATGAAGAGAATTCTTCACTGTAAATATAGAAGATTGTGTGTGTGTGTGTGTGTGTGTGTGTGTACATGTATGCATTTAAAATGGTCCATTTCAAGTGCTATGGGGGAACCTTTGGCCATGTCTAAGTATGAGAAAACATTGCTTTATTTAGAAATAGTCTGTAAGCCAGGCATGGTGGTACACACCTGTAATCTTAGCTACTCTGGAGGGGATCCCAAGGTCAAGGCCAGCTCGGGCCCTATATGAGACATTGAAGTTTAGGCAAGAAGATCAAGAAAATGATTTTTCAAAGGAAGCTCATTATGTTGCTGAAATAAGAGCTGGTAAGATGACTATAAATCTGTTTGAAGACCATCTGAAAATGGACTAGTTTTAATAATAGACTTAAACACACAAGGAAAAGAAATTGAATAACTTAAGCACAAATGCTCAGGATAGGACTCAGAGCTACATGTATTATTTCTTAATCTCCATTAATTCTACTAATTATTGGGATGATATTAGCAGATAGGGGAATAACACTCAAAAGGTTATATTTTGGCCAAATTTGTTACCTGAAATATTTTTCTTTAAATATGGTGAGAAATGTATTATCTAATTTACCTGAGTTAACAGAGCCTTTAGCTAAAAAGATCTCAGGTAGGACTGTTTCTGATTCTAAAGGAATGCTAAGCAGCCCCCATGTTTCCCACCGTGACGTAAGAAATTGAAGAGCCAGCTCCTTTTTGCATCTTCTCATTATACTCAGATATTAACATTTTTGTTGTAGGAGAATGTCAGTTCAGTAAAATCAGTTGGAAGAAGAATATTTTTGCCATGTGATTCAATAACAGATTGAAGGTGTTTTCCTGAATTTACTGCCATGCAGTTTCCTCAAGCACTGCTCTTCCTTTTATTTAGGTGCAAAAGACAATGTTGAGAATTGCTTCCTACTGTTCAGTATAAAGAACCAGTCCCAGATTACTGTTATAACTTCAGTTATACTTATTTCATTCTTTAAGTTGACCTTGCCAGTTATACTGACATCTTCAGTACTAAATCTTCAGTTTGCTCATGCAATACAACAGAAGTTAAACATTTAAAACCCATATGCCTTTCACATTTGCTTATGCTTTTACTTCAACCTAGAATATTTTTTCTTCTCTGATTTTTTTCATTCTTCAAGAACTCACCCCAATCTCTTTTTTTCGTTTATTCCAGTATTTGAATTTAGAGGAGAGATTTAAAATCGAAGCACTTATTATATACTAGGTACTATGAAACTATTTGTGTATTTTATTTAGTCTTCACTACAGCCTACAAGATAAAGGCATTCTTGTTTTAATAAATAAGCTTCTGATGAACTGCTTGCCAAAAGATGTAGTCTACTGAAACATACAGCCAGGATTCAAAATTATTTTAATAGCTTATGACAGTGTTTCTCAAGTATTAGTGAGCATTCAAATCTCTGAGGAGTTCTGTTGAAATGGGCATTATGAGTCTATGGGAGTGGCCCAGAGTCTCCATTTCCTACAGGCTACCAGGGGAGGCTAATGTAACTTTTCCTTGACCCAGACTTTGAATAGCAAGAGCCTATTCTATGTAATTTATTGTTGATGATACACACTGATGTATTATTTTCTAATCATGTCCTGTGTACTTTATTTCTCTAATTTAGTTTTCTAAATAGCCAAGATTCTTTTATATGTATGCACTTGACCCTTTGTTACATAATGGGAAGCTAAAGTAGGAGGAGAGGTGGGGTTGTGTGCACAGCAAGTACTTCTTAAATTGTTGCTTGCTCCAGGCAGAGCCTCAAGATGGCCTTTTGCCAAATCCTTACTCCCTTTCTCCTCCATAGACTAGAGAACAGACAGTCTGTGTAGACCCTGGATGGCGCAGCCTCACGTGACAGTTACATTATGTATCCTTGTTCCTTTTCTGCACATGCCCCTATCAAGAGATAATCACGTTCAGCCTGGGCCATGTGGGCCACGTGACACTACCCTGCCTTCCTACACTATAAATAGCTCAGTGGATGCCAGGCAGCCATTAGCTCATCAGGCTAGGGTCTCACCTGGTCCCAGCTCTAAAGCTTAATCTTGGTATGTATCTTTCTTTCTCATTATTTTCCAGTTTTCTTCATCTTGCACCACTCTGTTGGGCTTCAGACCCTATGCTTTATGGGTCGTGGCAGATACCTATATTCCCTCAAATTTTAGCATATAGGAAAGCAACATATCAGGAAGTATAATTATCTTCTGAATTGAAGAGTTATAAGAGATACTATTAAATTATAAAATAATCACTTGCTTTTGTGCCAGGCATCATACTAATCTTAATACTACTTTAGAAGTAGGTACGTAACTAAGACCAAGATATGATTAGGTACTCAGTGAGTGAGCCAGGATTCAGACAAAGACAATCTGATTCTAAAGTTTCCCTCATACTGGCCGCTTATGAGATACTTCTCAACTTCAGATGTTTTCTTTACTCTGTTGAGTGCTTTAAATAAACTGAAGCCAAAGAATAATAATCAGGAGGATTTCCTTTTTTTCTGAAATCTGATGACATTGATGCTACAGTTTTTACAAAGCGAGGCAACAATTTGCTAAAATTGAGTAGTGCCTGACTGTGTAGGTGAGGTATCACAGAACCAGCCCAACCAATGTCGGACATTTATTACCTGCAAAGCCCTTTGAGACATTTGTGTTTGAAACTGCTTTTCTATACAAAATAAGTCTTGTTTCAGATCTACATCTTGTGCTTATTCTATGTTTTGTTTTTAACAGAGTCTTTTATCCAGTCTTGTAAAACTGAACAGTTTGACCTTAGCTAGAAATTGCTTCCAGTTATATCCAGTGGGTGGTCCATCTCAGTTTTCTACCATCTATTCCCTCAACATGGAACACAATCGAATCAATAAAATCCCATTTGGAATTTTCTCCAGAGCAAAAGTATTAAGTAAGCTGAATATGAAGGTAAGCATCTGTTGGGAGCAAGGAGGAATTACTGTTATTTCTAATATTTACATCATCTCTATTAGTGTAGAAAATGGGTACTTAAACTTCGTTGAAGGAAATCTAAACTGATAAAAAGGTACGTCAAGCCAGTTTTTATCAGATAATAAATATATTAGAATTGTGTATGCCCTTAGGAATCTGTCTTCAAGAAATAATCATGATTGACCATAATAGTTTAGTTGTAGGGATATTTATTTTAGAGTTGTTTCGTAGATACCATTTTATTAATACTAAAAGGGATTTACTTTTGTTAATATATCTCAGTGGAATGCTATGGAGCCATTAAAATTAATGTTCTAGTCTAGAAGAATATTAAATACCAGTTGCAGTCTTACTTTATTAAGTAAAAGAAACTTTAAACGTTCTTACAAGCTTTTGTTAATATTCTTAATTATGTAAATACCTAGATACTTATATGCATATATAATCAGTATTTTCCACAATATGTTTACTTTAGGGATCAGAATTATTTATGGGTGATCTTTAGTTTTTGCTTGTCTATATGCTCTGTAGTGAATGTGTTTCACATTTGTAACAAAATTTATTGTGAAGAAAGTGATGAAATGGAAAATTACTCCAGTGATTTAATTTTCAGTGAATAGAGTTTAGACCTTGAGAAAATAACCAAATTGGCCACATAGCTACTTCATGGTTGAGGTAGGAGTCCTGGAATGTAAGTTTCCTAATTGCAGGTAGTATTTTTTCTATCACATCAAACTACATCTTTCTGTCTTTGATAAACCATTTATCATAATTATGATTTTTTTTTACATTCTAAACACTTTCTTGATTCTAGCTATACTTCATCATAAATATAGAATGCATCTTTTATGATAATTCTTTGGAAGTAGACCAGTATAAATTCATGATAATCTTAAAATCTTAAGTATGAAATTTATTAATCAGTCTGGTTGTATGACTAATATATTCAGTGAAAGTAATACACTGGTAATAGCATTAATTTTGAATGTTCATTTTGTAATAATAGGGTTTGAACAACGGTCCAGATGTTACCAGTTTGCATCTGATCATACATTTTTATGGATCTGACGTTGTTATAGTGTTAGCTTGGAATGGCTTGCTGTTTTTAATAAAATAAAAATAAGACTGCGTGGAGCTTTTCCTTTTCTTAAAACATGATAAATGTTTAGCAAAACATTTTCTTGAAGAAATCAAAATGAAGCTTGACATTTTGTTCTATGTAAGCACCGGTAGTAAAAGTAAAAATACTTTACCATACAGTAAATATCAGTTGTATGGGCATAAATAGAAATACCATATGTATTTTATTTAAGTATAAAAGAAAAACTTGGTTTTCAAATGGGTGTTTGCTAATTGGGGTTTTTTAATATGGATGGTTTTGTGTAAAATGAGACTAGTAGTCTATGTGTATTACAGAAAAAACTTTAAAAGCACGGATTGACAAAAGAATATAAAACAGTCCTACTACTGAGAAGTTAACGCATTGGCATTGTGTCATTGATGTCTGTCTGGAACAGGGTGCAGATCGTCTTCTCCGATTGCCAGTACCTGTAACACATAGTGTAACATGTTAAGAGTTGTTATTGATCAAAGTGCATCTTAAAAGTAAATATGTGAAAGCTGGGAAAAAGGTAGTGAATTATTTAAAATTTTTAAACAAAATTAGGGTTATAATTTTTCATTATCATCATCATTATTATTATTGAGTTGTTTTTTTTTTGAGACAGGATCTCACTATGTAGTTCAGGCTGCCTTTGAACTCATAATGTTGCCCCGGCTTGCCTCCAATTTGCAGGATTCCTGCCTCAACCTCTCAAATGCTGGGATTATAGGCATGTGCCACCACCACAGCTGAACAGTGAACATATTTTACCATACAGATTTTAAAAGTGGAAATGTTGATATTTACTGTTTAATGATTAAAGATGCTGTCTTACTAAGACTGTTTTTTCCTCTCCTTTATAGCTCAGCAACTCTTTGAATTCCCATTTGGTTTTCCTGTAAGGCTATGTCTTCCATTGTACTCATATTTTAGTTCAAGCATTCACATTTTTTTCAATGATTTTTGCACATTATTGTGAAATGGGGGAAACATATTTATCACCAGGGTGTTTAAAATCACAAGTGATTTCTCTATATGCTATATTTTCTAGTTCCATTAGAAATACTCACATAGGAAACAACTTCTTGTTTGGCCTCAAAAGCCTAATTGCTGTACAAAAAATATTTTAGAAGAAGCCAAATTTTTGTTGCTTTCTTTTTCTTCTCTCTACATTTAGATATCAAAAGAAGAAATGTTTTCTGTTTAAGAATGCTTTTTCCAAAAGAAGATGTGCATGATGCTTTTGTTTTTGTGGCTTCTGCCTATGATGCTTGTTTTTGTCTTTGCCAGGACAATCAGTTAACATCACTCCCTTTGGATTTTGGAACTTGGACCAGTATGGTGGAATTGAATTTAGCTACTAATCAGCTCACAAAGATCCCTGAGGATGTATCTGGTCTAGTTTCCCTTGAGGTGTGTATAAACGAGCATTTAGAATCCTCAGACCCTTCCACAGTTTCTTATAAAATGTCAAGTTAAAATAAGTCATTTCTGTTTTGATGAAGATCGTAATTAGAGCTCTCTTAAGCATACAGCCTTATTAGGATGATGCGATATTGAATAATTAGACTAGTTTCAGTACTTCTGAATTACTCTTGCCCACTCTTGGTAGGTTTCAGTGCTATAAAATATCATTTTGAAAGAAAACTTTTCTAAAATTCAGTATTCCTTTTTTGTTATTCTTTGTAGAAGTACACCATCATCTACCGAGTTAATTAATGGATTCTTCATACCCTCGTTTAGAATCTTCCTTTGTATGACTGGCCCAGTTTCCATTCTAAACAGTCACTGTATGTTGGAAATGTGGTATCCACATTTCTAGCTTTGTGTGTTTAATTCTGTTGTTCTCAGTATCTTGTCACCTCCTTAATTAAGATGACTGCTCTTGTCTCTGAACCACTAGAATTTTAATCTTTTTGGTGAAAAAACTAATAGTACATATATGGTTTTAAAGTTTTTCATGTGTACATTTTTTAAAATCCTACCTTATTATTTAATAAGGTGAAATCATATGCTATAAAGGTTAAAAGCACAGTTTTTGAAATTAAACAGATCCGGTTGTAATCCCAGTTTGATCTCCCTATATTTATGAATTTGGTCTGCCCAAACTTCGGATTCCTAAGTTCTCCAGTTTCCTAGGATAGTAGTATTTACTTCATAGAGTTGTAATTAGGACTAAATGCAGTAATGCACATAATATACTTAACATAGTGCCCTGAAAATAATAAACTCAAATGGTAGCTGTTACTTTCTTGGTCTTATTGAGTATTTTTATCTTATTATGGATTATATAACTTTGGATGAAATAAGTTTACATAAAAAACTAGCTATAATTTTATGTATGTCTTTTCTACTTAGCCCTTTTTTCCACTATCCCTGTTCCCTTTCCTGTCTATCTCCTCTTTGGTTTATAACTTCTTCAAGAAAAACTACAGGTACAAGATCCCAGTAATGAATGTAACTGTACTGTATACCTAGAATGTACCAATAAACTCAATAAAAAGAAAAAAAAAAGAGTAAGGATTGTCATCCTGAGCCTTTTTCCTTCCTTTACATTTTAGGATATCTTAAAATGTGGTAAATACTACAAATAATTAACTGTAGTGGATTGAGGATAATACGCAGTTTCTAGTCAATTTGCTGACTTCCTTCAGTGAAGGTTTATAAGGGGTTTTAAATAATTCATTACCTTTGGGGGGACTGATTGTTTTGAGTTCCTAACCCAAATATAAAGACCCGATCCAAAAATGGGCATCCGAAATGAACAGACATTTCTCATACAAAGAAGTGAAAGCAGCAAGAAAATATATGAAAAAATGTTCCACATCACTGGTCATTCGAGAGATGCAGATGAAAACAACACTAAGATTCCACCTCACCCCACAAAGAATGGCTGCTATCAAGAAATCACACAATAACAAATGTTGGCGGGGTTGTGGGGAGAAAGGAACCCTCCTCCATTGTTGGTGGGAGTGCAGACTAGTGCAACCACTATGGAAATCAATATGGAGATACCTCAAAGAGCTTGGACTGGAGGTTCCATTTGACCCAGCCATCCCTCTGTTGGGTATCTTTCCAAGAGAACTGAAAGAATCATATCACAGAGAAGTATGTGCACCCATGTTTATAGCGGCACAGTTTGTAATAGCTAAATCTTGGAAACAACCTATTTGCCCATCCGTTGGAAACTGGATAAAGAAGTTGTGGTTTTTCTATAAAATGGAATATTACTCAGCCATAAAGAGCGAGAGAATAGATTCATTCATAGGAAAATGGATACATATTGAAGATATACTCCTAAGTGAAATAAATAAGTCCCACATGTGTAAATACCAAATAGTTTCCCTGGTGTGAATATTCTGCAACAATGCATAAGATTCTAATAAGATTACTGACATTTAGAAATGGGAGGAAAGGAACTAAAGGTGTAGGGAAGGTGTGATACGTAGGGGAAGAACAAAAAGGGAAAAGAAAAAAATGTGAGAGAATGAAAAGATGAAAATAAAGTGTTTGTAGATGGGGAGGGGAGGAGGGGGTGAAGGGAGGGCAGAGGTAAGGGGAAAAAAATGAGAATCAAGACTTGCCATGTAAAGGTACATGATCCCAACAATGAATGTAACTGTACTGTATCCCTAAATGTACCAATAAACTCAATTTAAAAAATAAATAAATAAATAAATAAATAATTCATTACCTATTAGACATTTGTAACTATTTAACATAAAAATATATTAACTATATATGAATCTTAATGCAAATAGTTAATTTTATTTTTCATAATTTAGTTAAAATTATTTCTTTTTATTTTTTACATACTTGAATAAAAATCTTTCCAGTAATGGTGGGTTTTTAAATTTTTAGAATAATAAAATATTTTATATGTTGCATAGTTTATATGTTGTATAGTTAGGTATATGTTGTATTACCATTAGCATTCTTTGCTTGGAAAATTAGCATTGTTTAATAAAGTTTTAGGCTATACAACAATAGTAATTTCATTTCACAAGTTGCTAAACACTGTATAATTTCTCTTTAGGTTCTGATATTATCAAACAATCTTCTAAAGAAACTTCCCCATGGTCTTGGGAACCTTAGGAAATTAAGAGAGTTGGATCTAGAGGAGAACAAATTGGAATCCTTGCCAAATGAAATTGCTTATCTTAAGGATTTACAGGTAAAACATTGTCCTGGTGGCTGTATGATTAAAGTTAATTTTTTTTTATGGTTTGGACCTAATTCTTTGACCAGATATTTCTGTTACAGCATTACTCTGGGTTTTATGTTGATAGAACCTTTCTGCTTTTGTTCTAACAAATGATAATTTTTTAAAAATTCTGTAACCTACTAAGTCTCATTCAATTTAATATTCCTGTTTTGTTCTTTGGTGGATATCAGTTTATATTTACTTTGGTTGTAGGAAACATGAGTGTAACTGTCTTTTGTTAACCTTTCAGAAATTAGTCTTGACAAATAACCAGTTGACCACACTTCCCAGAGGCATTGGTCATCTTACCAATCTCACACACCTGGGCCTCGGAGAAAATCTGCTGACTCATCTTCCTGAGGAAATTGGTATGAGTTTTGAGGGTACTGACTCTACTAAGAATCTTGTCTTGTACTTTTACATAATTTTTCAGACAAATCTATTTTTGTAAGCTGAGATTATATCAGGCCTAAGTTTTGGGGGTTTTTTAGAGAGTACCAGTGGTTGGTATTGGTTGATTTTTGATTGTGGGATGTTCAGATTAACACTGTATTTGAGAATGTTTTAATATATTTACATAAGTTCTATATAATTCCAATCTAGAAGAATTACTTCCTCCAGATTTAAAAATAACACAGTCTGAATCAAATTATTAATGTCTTATGCCAAAAGAACTTTTTTTTTCTTTTAAATTGAATTTATTGGTATATTCTAGGAAGACAGTACAGTTACATTCATTACTGGGATCTTGTACCTTTGCATGCCAGATCTTGGTTCTCATTTTTTCCCCTTGTCCCCACCCTCCCTTCACCCCTCCTCCCCTCGCCACCTTCAAACACTTTAATTCCACTTTTACATTTTCTCATATTTTTTTTCCTTTTCTCTTGTTCCCCTTTCCCTATCCTTCTCACTGTCCCTACACCTTTGGTCCTTTTCTTCCTATTTCACGTTGCTAATTGTCTCATTAGGATCTTGAGTACTATTTTAGTTTTTCACACCAGAGAAACTATTCAGTATTTGCATATGTGTGACTTATTTATTTCACTTAGGAGTATATCCTCAATAAAAGAACATTTCTTTATGAGGCTTTGTGATTATGTATAATCAAATACCAATATTTGTTTTTTGTTTTTGTTTTTTTTTGGTACTGGGGCTTGAACTTGGGTCCTTGAGCTTGCAAGGCAAATACCAATATTTGGATGTACTTTAGAATTTTTGCAAAGGGAAAACCAAAGGTCTCATGCATGCTGGATAAGCACTCTCCTAATAAGCTTATATTCCTAGCCCAACTAATAGTTCTAAAATTAATAATTCCATGTGTTGTCTTCTGCCATCTATAGCGTGTTATCCCAGGAGCTCTGTAGATTCGTGGTTAAAAATGGTTTTGGTGGGTTGGGAATGTATCTCAGTGGTACCTCGCCTGCCTTCCAGGCACAAGGTCCTGGGTTTGATTCCTGGTAATCCCCCCAACCAAATGGTGTTAGTGATGGTAGATAATTTAAAATCTGACTTAGCCAGATTAGTTTTGTGTCTTTGGATAAGACATGTGAACCCGCTAACCTCAGATTTACTATTTGTAAAATAAGGATCATAATAATTGCTTCATATAGAGTTGTAAAGAATATCTTATGAGTAAACACCCATAACCTGATAGCTGTTATTTTTTTAATAAATACCATTTTCAGGTAATCCAAAATTTGAAATTTGAAGCACATGAGGCGGTTTTGCAGTTATATTTCTAGTAGGTTGACTCAGCTGGCTTCACATACTGGTTGCAGAAATTTACCTAAAAAGTATGAATGTCCTAAGATACTGTAAAAAAAAAAATTGGGGGGGGCTACCAGGAATCGAACTCAAGTAAGAAAAAAATTTAAAAAGCTGTATAAATTGATGTTTAGTTTACTGCTAAATATGTGATAACTGTTAATGAAAGATTTATATCAAAGACAAAAACTTTCCACATGAGAAATATATTTATATTAGAAATTGTTGCATTGTCTATAAAAGAAATTATAGACACTGATTGTGTAAAGAACTCATTTCTAGAATTATGCATACATATATATAGCCAAGCTATCCTAAACAAAGTCATTGGATATGGAGAATTTTCAAGAAACTCCAAGCTTGAAAACTAATCATTAGGGTCGGGGATTTAGCTCAGTGGTTCCACTGCCTGCCTCAAAAACTAATCATTAAGGACAAGGTTTTGATGTGTTGGTATACAACATGACCTGAACATCAGGATTTAAAAAAAAACTCTCCAGGTCACCTGAATATGTAATAAAGTGTAAGGTCCATCACTGTAAGAATTATAAAACTGTAGGAAGAGGGCTGGGTATGTGGCTCAGTGGTTCCGCCACCTGCCTCCCAAGCACAAGGACACCCCGAGTTCGATCCCCGGTACCAAAAAAAAAAAAAAAAAAAAACTATAGGAAGAAATTAAGAAAAAAATGTGTATTAAGTGTATATAAATCTCAGTTGAATTTTTTAATAGTAACTAATTTTTTAAAATAATGGTTTATTTGATTTTTTTTAAATAGGTACACTGGAGAATCTAGAAGAACTGTATTTGAATGACAACCCCAACCTGCACAGCCTTCCCTTTGAGCTAGCTCTCTGCAGCAAGCTTTCAATCATGAGTATTGAGAACTGTCCACTCAGTCACCTCCCTGCTCAGATTGTTGCTGGGGGGCCTTCTTTTATCATTCAGTTCTTAAAGATGCAGGGTCCGTATCGCGCCATGGTCTGATACAGATCTGCGTGTCCTACACACTGTTCACAATCAGACTGCCGTTCATCTTTCACGTCTGTATCTGTGTCTATTTATGTAGATATCAATATATATGGCAGATTTATAAAGACTGCATTATGTGTTTCTGCTAATAGAGGAATCATAGCCATTTAGATTTTTTAAAAATTCTGTACAAAAGGCTTACATAAGTTTTCTTTGCTGAATTTGATGGATGTTTTTCTGTTGTGTAATCTGATATGCCAGTTTGCTTAAAAAATTGCTGACAAATTATGAATTTATTAAATTTACAGGACAGAGGTAGTACTATAGTTAGATAAACATTTCTTTTGGAAAAAATAATGGCAAATTATTTTGTTGCAACTTTTCATACACATTTTCCCCTTACCAATTATCAGATCATTGTATATGATAGGCCCTGAAGGTAGAATGTTTCTTTAACTTATTTTGAAATTTGAGATTTAAATTATATATATTGTTTACAGTCAGAGTAAATCACTGGATTTTTTTGTTTATTTTGATTTGCTCTGTTTTAAATAGTCACAACTAGAGTTTATATCCTCTGTTAAAGAATTTGCATCTGCTGATTTAAATATTAAGATATTTGCTTTTTAAAACAACTTGTAATTTCTTCTCAGCCTTTTGGCTAAGATCAAGTGAAATAACTGGCAAAATGAAAATATATACTGAAAAATCTAAAATTTCTTTAATTTTACATCTCTGAGTTGTGGAGCAAAATATCTGAGGTAAGTCTTTGGATAGGTTTAGGGTATTGAAACCTTTCATAGTATAAATATGTTTTCTTAAGTTTGGGGGAATAGAAATTTGTAATAAAAAGGATGTTTTTTTATTTCTGAAAGTTGCAAATCCACAAAAACTAACAAATTTGGCAAATAAATTATACATAAACACATTCTATATATGTATATACAATGCTATATAGATATGTATTTATTATATCATAAACTACAATAGGTAACTTTAAGGATTTTTCTCCCTATCCTTGTATAATGAAATGAATGTCTTTCTTTGAAAACTGCAATATATGTATGTTTCAAGGTTATTTAACAGTGTACTATGGTTTTATATCTTGCCTTGTATATCTTTCATTTCTGGAATATCTGTGTCTAAGCACAATATCTTCACACTGTGCTGTATTGCTGCTGAACTAAATGCACTTTTCCCCATTTGTGGGGCACTGGCTTCAAACAATTCAGTTCAGTACCATTACTTTTAAACACATCTTTCTTTTCTTGGTAGTTGGTAATATGGTTATGGAAAAGAGGCACATTGCATAGATGCCATTGGAAATTCCATGGAAATTATGTAAGATGTGCGTGTACTATCTGATAAATTTTTCTCTTTACTGCCTTTAAGACTAGCAGAATTGTAAATGTGTGCCCCTTATGTAGTGCTCTTACTTTTGGTAGTGTTGGTCTAAGTCATTTTATATTGAGGAGATGGACAGAGCAAGTGCATTCTAGATAGCATACAAAAAACACTTCCATACAGTGAGTAACTGTTATATGTAACTTCATATTGCTGCTTTTTCTCCTATTTATTTGGGCATTGTTTTCTAAACAAACCTTTTAAAAAAATTAAGACTATCGTTACTGAAAGAAATTTGGAGTGTTTTGCTTTTTCTGGAACTCAAATTCAGTACTAGACTTGAGGTCAAACCTATATTTGCAATTGGCAATTTTATAAGGAGCAACTAATAAATGGAAGGCAGGTGAAGATATAAAACCCTAGAATGCTTAAATGTGCTGTAAAACTATTGTAGATGTCACTGGATTTCACCAAGTAATGTCCGTTCTTTTCCATCTACTGTGGCTTTTCAGTTAAAATTTTGTTTATAAAAGGAATTTGTTTATTACAGCTCTACCTGGAGCTTATGTCTATGTGTGTGTGTGTGTGTGTGTGTGTGTGTGTTAATCTCGTACCCAGGTGTGATTATATATTAAGATGATGGAACTTGAACTTTAATGGTGGTGGTAGCCTATTGTCTTTTCCTGGGGCAAAAAAAAAGTGGTTATTATTTTTTAAACTGAAAGTAAATGTCGTTTTAAACTGAAAGTAAATGTAATTTAGTTACCCTACCTTATTTTATTTTCATTTGTAGCAGAAGGGAAAAATAATCCCAGTCGTGGTAGAGGTGATTCTACATATAAATGGTGTATACCTGAGGTGTTACTTAAAACAATTTAAAACACGTAAAGCATGTCTTTTGTGTGGATGCTACTTATATGACCCACTAATTTAATTTGTTCTTCAGCCAAGAAACTAAAACAGACTCTAATTAGGATATCTGCAGGATATTTTAAGACAGTTTGTGAAAAATAGGGAATACTGTTGAGTGACACTCATGAACTAGTTTGGGGTTTTGGGGTTTTCTTTGGTCGTAAACAACCCCCCTTGCAAAATTGCAGTGGGACTGTTTGGCATATCCAGAATTTTCCTTTTTTCGAGAAAGTGTTTAGTTCCTCCCTGAGCTTCAGGAAAGAAAGTATGAATATCAAAATGTTATGTTGTAAAAACACTGATCTAAACTTTCCTTTTTGTTAATCTATAGCAGTAAAATGGTAATGGTAATCAGTCTTCCCTTTGTGAGAGTTTCATACTTTTAAAATTACAAATGGTTATTTTATAGAGAAAGAAGAGATACTAATTTATGGACTTGATGGATACAAATGAAAACAGTAGTGGGCAGAAAATCTTGAATGATAAAATAATGCATAAAATGTTAATTTATATTTATCTTAAAAGTTGGAGATAATGAGCAGATTTTAAAGTAATCACAAATTTCTAATTTATTATGAACAGTCTGAGTTATAACTTCTCCATCACAAGTTATCTAGTTTTTCTGTAATAACTTTTGTTACAGTCTTTTGGTTTTCATGAATTATGTTTAAGCCACATGTATTGAGTCCAAATTTCAGCTTGCAAAATTTGTAATTGTTTTTATCAATAAGATCAGGTAATTTCAGTTTATAAAGTGGGACAGGTTAATTTGGCTGACATCCTGTGTCAGAGCTGTCTCAGGAAAATCAAGGCTATATGCTCATTCTTTTGTTATTAAAACTAGTTGAAAGCAAATGGCATAACCAAAAGAAATAGTAAAATAAATTCCTGAAATCTGTCAGGGTCATCTTTTGCTTGCACTTGAGGATAAGATACCATACCAAGTATCTTAATTCACTCTTTTTCTCTTGCTTTAAGTTGTTTTATTAGCTTAGCCCTCACAAGTCACCAGGGCAATTGGTCAATCTTGGGTTGATTAGTCTCTGAATATTTGCATATGTAAGAGTTAAGACTTTTATTTGGTTTCCCTGGGGAGTATCTTGAATGTTAAGAAAATGAGATTTTTTGTAAAATACACATCAATACTTGCTATTAAATAGAATGCCTTCTGGTAACACTGATTCTGAGGGAACATTCAAGATTTATTTTTAACTTTTAAAAATAAGGGGTTTTTGTTTTTAATTTTAAAAGGAGTTGGTTGTCATTACTCCTAAATAAATGCTTTCTTATAGGGCATATTTGTTAGTCTCCCCACTGACAGTATGCATTCTAAATAAACACTTTTGAATGTAAATATCTGCTTGTGATCAAGACCTTAACTCGATGGTGGTTAATATTTCAGATTGTGAATTTTCTCAGATTTGGTAGAAGTAGTTTCCACAGTTATCTTAGGACAAGGCTATCAAGTGACCAATTTTGAAGTTTGAACAGTTTATCAACATTACATGTTTTGGTAAATGTTCATTAACATCTTAGATTCATAGATTTATTATTATGACAGTTTTTTTCTTAGCAGATGGCAGTAAAATTGCTTATTCTAACAAAATCAGAGTTATATCAAATTTCTGACAGGTGGAAGTAAGTCTTGAAAAGTTTTTTCCCCCCTTGTATAGTAAGTAGTACTAGTTTGACTAATATGGAGAGTCAGTCTTTGTGCAAATGATTAGAAGTCCATTCTAACAAAATCCTTTCGGCAATGGAATAATATTTAAGTGGAATTATAAGTATTGTATATATAATAGGTACTCATAAAGATCATCTTACTTGGGAAGTCTAATTCAAGACTATGGGTGCTTTATCGTTGACCATGATTAGATTTCCTTTTTTACCTAATTTACCTTTTATCATTACTGGTGTCATTTATATGGAGAATTTAACCTTATAGTGGTCTGAGCAAGGTTAATATACAAGGGGCATTTGTATCAACCATCTCAACCCTTTTTGAAATTATTCAATAAATCTGTCCATCTATCTAGTACTTAAAACGAGCTGTTCTCTAATAAAGAGAATGTTAAATGTATGGCTCAAATAATTTACTTATTTTAATAGTAGCCTTTAATAGAAGAGTGTACTAATGTATAATTTTTCCTCATTTGCTGTTTTTATCTACTTAAAAACTTTTTTCTTTTCTTTTTGGTACTGGGGATCAGACTCAAGACCTTGCCCTTATGAGGCAGGCGCAGTGCCACTGAGCTAAATCTCCAGCCCTAAAAACTCATTTTTAACATATTCTAAAAGGTTGTCTTGTAATTGCTAAATAAGAATACAAAATAATGATTCAGTTTTTAAGATCACATTTCCACTTACGTTTAACAGGGTTTGTACTCTGTTAAATACCTGCCTAGTCTAAATTATGATTCAAGACTAAAAGGCATAAACAACCTTCAAATAATGTATTTTTCTAACTAAGTTATATATTTTTATAACTAAGTTATAGTGTCAGCTGTTTTGGCCGTATAAATAGTACCTTAATAGTAAGTATGTTAATCTGTTCAATATAAATAATGTATTTGTAAATGTTCCACCCATGAGTCTTTCAAAACTCTAATGCTGTGTAACTAAAGCTGGATATGAAATTAATCAATGTCATAAAACCACAAAAATGTGGAAAGGAAATAACTTTTCTATTACCATTTAATCTGGAAAACTGGGATATAGAAAACTAGATGTGCAAAAACATGCAACAAAATATTATACATAATTGTCCTTCAATGTAGTATGTGTTTTTATTTACCCTTTATGAAACCTCAAATTTATGGGAGGGGGCTTAGTTTACTGCTGTATCCTGTCATGCAGACTGCCCCATAATGGAGACATTGTGTTACTAGAAATAATTCCCCCACTCTCTGAGCCTTCTTGTCCTAAGAGTGCTTTCTCTCCATGCATTGTAAAGAAAGTGTGTTTGTGTGTGTGTGTGTGTGTGTGTGTGTGTGTGTGTGTCCTATAAGAAAGTATCTTCTGATTCAGTTCTTTTGCAATGTCATGGTAACCAAAGTTAAAAATTCAGTGCAGGGTTCCTAGGGGGAAAAGTTGTGTTACTGACAAAATTATGTGTTTTGCAATATTTCACAAGAACAAAAACTTTGAGTTTAAAGATTTTTTTATCCAACAGAAACTGTTCAGTTGGCTGGAGAAAATTTTCCAAGAAAGATAACAAATACTAGTCCTATGCACCGTGTGATTAAATGTCATCTTCTGGGATTCTTTGATGTATTTTTTAAAAAGTCGCTCTGGCTACTCTGAAAAATGGATTGAGGGGAATTAAAAGTAGAGGCCAAGGGCTGGGGATTTAGCTTAGTGGTTCCGCTGCCTGCCTCAAAAGCACAAAGTCCTGAG